GTGGCTCTTCTATCCCCCAGGGGGCATACATGTCTGTTGGCTCTTCTATCCACCAGGTGGCATACATGTCTGTTGGCTCTTCTAACCACCAGGTGGCATACATGTTTGTTGGCTCTTCTAACCACCAGGTGGCATACATGTCTGTTGGCTCTTCTATCCACCAGGTGGCATACATGTCTGTTGGCTCTTCTAACCACCAGGTGGCATACATGTTTGTTGAGAACAATTTGTCAGTAGCAGACATGCTCCACCTAGTGACTGCAGTCAAGTTTGTATTTCACTGAATTACATAAATTGATAGTCATACTTTTTTTGTGAGACCGTATAGGCACAATTCACAAAGCTTACACACACGTATATGGATGCTTAGTTTGGGTTGAGTTGAGTGAGATTTGAAAATTTAGTTGCATAGCTAAAAAAAAGGTGCCTAAGGTTTGTGTAGAGCTTTGTGAGTTGAGCCTTATGGAGTTATTCTGGGAGTTAACTGACTGCAAACCTGGACTTCAGCTTTTAGTATATTTTACAGTATGGTTAGTGTAAGAAGTAACTGCTCTTTTGCTATTTGCTGCATTTATCTTGGGCGATGGGCTTATGGGTGTGTTCTTTTATAGGTGACCAAAGAACGTACAGCTCAGTGTTTCCTACGAGTGGACGATGAGTCCATGCAGAGATTCCACAACAGAGTTCGTCAGATTCTAATGGCTTCAGGATCCACTACATTTACTAAGGTGTGTTGTAATTTTACATCAAATTGTATAGCCAGCACATGGCCACTTTTACACCTTTTGCTATGTAAGCCTAGTTCAACTTTCTTTCTAGGGTTTGGCTGAGCTTGATACTTGCTCATACACTAAGATTTTAGTGGTCATTTTATTAATCCTAGCAGCAACGTCTATCATTTTTCTGTTTGTCCAGATTGTGAACAAGTGGAATACCGCACTGATTGGCCTGATGACTTATTTCCGTGAGGCTGTGGTCAACACACAGGAGTTGCTTGATCTGTTGGTGAAATGTGAAAACAAAATCCAAACCAGAATTAAGATTGGTCTGAACTCTAAGATGCCCAGTCGTTTCCCCCCTGTGGTCTTCTACACACCCAAGGAGCTTGGTGGTTTAGGGATGTTGTCTATGGGACACGTGCTCATCCCACAGTCTGACCTCAGGTAATATCTTTTAATTAGCGTAAAATGTGTTTCCAAGACTAGCCTTTCATTCATTTGTGTAGCTTGTTCCTTAAACGTACAGGTTGTTCCTACACTTTTAGTATGTGTACAATATTACTGTCCAATGTTCAATTCTTTGTAACCCAATTCATTTTTCTAACAGGTGGTCAAAGCAGACAGATGTTGGCATCACCCACTTCCGCTCTGGTATGAGTCATGAGGAGGATCAGCTGATCCCTAACTTGTATCGCTACATTCAGCCCTGGGAAAGTGAGTTCATTGACTCTCAGCGAGTCTGGGCTGAATACGCTTTGAAGAGGCAAGAGGCCATTGCTCAGAACAGGTGAATATGATAACTTGGACATTGAATATCCAAGATTATTATGTAGTTGGAATTATGTTTTTAAGAGTTGCATTTAATGTGCTTTTTTTTCCCCCCAGACGTCTTACATTGGAAGATTTGGAGGATTCATGGGATAGAGGTATTCCACGAATCAACACCCTGTTCCAGAAAGACAGGCACACCCTGGCCTATGACAAGGGCTGGAGAGTCCGTACAGACTTCAAGCAGTATCAGGTACTATAGCTCATTAGTTTTGATTACTTTGTTTTCCATATACTCCACGCTTCTGGAGAATTACTAAGTGTTTTAATTTTTTCTCCCCCCCAGGTACTGAAACAGAATCCATTCTGGTGGACACATCAACGTCATGATGGAAAGCTCTGGAACTTGAATAACTACCGTACAGATATGATCCAGGCACTTGGAGGAGTGGAGGGGATTCTGGAGCACACATTGTTCAAAGGCACTTACTTCCCCACATGGGAGGGTCTTTTCTGGTAAGAAGGTCTACCTTTATTTCAAGCAGCAAGTTTAATATTAAATATTTATCACTCGGGTTATTAAACTGTTATATGTTAGTCTTGGGACACTGTTGGATTTTGCATTAGAAAGGTTGTCAACAATTGCAAGTTAATAAACATAGATGTTTAAATTTACTAAATGGCAACAGGAAATAAGACTCGGGGAAATATTGTTAAATGTTCAGACCTTCCATGTGCCTTCCATATCTTGGTTGCTGTAAACCAAATATCCTTACTACTAAACAGGTACCCAATGAACCTGCATAAAAAGCTAAAACCTACTTCTAAACCTGTTATGGTAGAGGTTTGTGTTTTCACACGTTTACATTTGGTCATGGTCAATAATCATTTACTTTTTTTACCAGGGAAAAAGCCAGCGGCTTTGAGGAATCCATGAAATGGAAGAAACTGACCAACGCTCAGAGGTCTGGTTTAAATCAGATCCCCAACAGAAGGTTCACTTTGTGGTGGTCGCCTACAATAAACAGAGCCAATGTATGTTTGCATTAGAAATGTGTAAGTTGCTGTTTATTTTAATTTGTATATCTTTGTTTAACCACCCCATATTTGTCTATTGTAGGTGTATGTCGGTTTCCAGGTACAGCTGGATTTGACTGGCATTTTCATGCATGGCAAAATTCCCACATTGAAGATCTCTTTGATTCAGATTTTCAGGGCCCATTTGTGGCAGAAGATCCATGAGAGCATTGTAATGGATCTGTGTCAGGTGAGTCATTGTAATTGATCTGTGTCAGGTGCTGATTAATATACAGTTCTGACATTAAAGTAATTCCCTGACATTTCTGTGTATCAGGTGTTTGACCAAGAGCTGGATGCTCTAGAGATTGAGACTGTCCAGAAGGAGACCATCCACCCCAGGAAGTCTTATAAGATGAATTCATCTTGTGCGGATATCTTGCTTTTTGCTTCCTACAAGTGGAATGTCTCTCGTCCTTCTTTACTTGCGGACTCCAAGTATGTGTTCTTTATTTGCACATTTGTTTGTTTTATTAGTGTCCATTTAGCAAACCGCGATTCTAAATTTGTGGATTATGTGGAAGGTCACTTAGTGGTTTTTATATGTTCTCCATCTAGGGATGTCATGGACAGCACCACCACACAAAAGTACTGGATTGATATCCAATTGAGATGGGGAGACTATGACTCTCATGACATTGAACGATATGCCCGTGCAAAGTTTCTAGACTATACCACTGATAACATGAGTATCTACCCATCACCTACCGGTGTGCTGATTGCCATTGACTTGGCCTATAACCTCCACAGGTGAGCAAACGTCTTCAACATGGACATTCCCACATCCCAGATACTTATTGGCTGGAATTGATAAACATAAGTTTGTTCGAATAACCCATTTCTTTATCCTTTTTAGTGCCTATGGAAATTGGTTCCCTGGTGGGAAACCTCTTATTCAGCAAGCAATGGCCAAGATTATGAAGGCTAACCCCGCTCTTTATGTGCTACGCGAGCGCATTCGTAAGGGATTACAGCTGTACTCTTCAGAGCCCACTGAGCCTTATCTGTCCTCTCAGAACTACGGCGAGCTCTTCTCCAATCAGATCATCTGGTTTGTGGATGACACCAATGTGTACAGAGTAACCATACACAAGGTACAGCTCCTATGTGTGTGCGTGTGACAAATGCAGTCATCAAAATTGTATACATCACACTGACTTTTTTTTGTTTTCCATTTAAGACCTTTGAAGGTAACTTGACAACCAAACCCATCAATGGGGCCATCTTCATCTTTAACCCCAGGACTGGGCAGCTTTTCTTGAAGATTATTCATACCTCTGTATGGGCAGGGCAGAAGCGATTGGGTCAGGTATGTTTGAAATATGCCTAAAATAGAACCAGTCTTATGTGGATGAGCATCTCCTCTTGAAATATGTTGGTTTAGGGATGTAGCTTGTGTGCCACGTTTAGAGTTGATCATTTTAAATACATTTATGTTTACACTTTTCTCCTTTTTGTAGTAATTTTTTTTGGGTGTGCTTTTTGTTTTGTTATGTTTTTATAAGAGTGAGCGAAAATATGATTGATTTCCTTTGTTAATCATTCTTGTATTAAAGGACACTTGTGCGAAGGAGACTGCCATTGCTTTTTCTTTATGAAAATCGTAGCGCTCTGGCTGTCATGCTGACTGTACTTCAGTTCTTTAAATTACTTTACTGGAAGAGCATATGGATTAGCGTTATAAATGGCAACCTTGTAACTATCAGCATAGGCTTCCTTTTAAACTCTACTTGCAAATCTGTGCAGTAGCAGGCACACTCGGGTACCTGTAGTTCTCTATAGCTTCTTTTAGAGGGTCCTAAAACCTGAAGTGTGCCATGTACAGAAAATATGACTTTAATTGCAAAGTCAGATGGTTTGCATGCCCTTTCTCAACACCTCCTTCCCCAAGTGACTTGGTATTGAACTGTCCCAAACATAGGTGTCCCTAATAATGAAAAGTGACGAGCAGGAGATGGCAGGTCAATCCTCCAAATGAAGCCCATTTCAGTTACCTTAGGGCTCTGCTATTGCATTCAAATGCCAGTTTTTATAAACCGGTCATGAAAAAAATGTGTTGTCAATGCTGATCTCTGTCTGAAAATGGTCGGTCAGTATATATTTCTCCTAAGTGTTTACCATTTCTAATTGATTACCATTTCACAGCTGGCCAAGTGGAAGACTGCAGAAGAAGTTGCTGCTTTGATCCGATCTTTGCCAGTTGAGGAGCAGCCGAAACAGATCATTGTCACCAGAAAGGGCATGTTGGATCCTCTTGAGGTAAAACCCATTTTTAACCTCTGTAAACTTGCTTCATATTTTTTATTCTGTTTGTATTTCTCTCATTGCATATTTTATCTTTTTTCCTCCTTTTTCAGGTGCATTTGCTTGACTTCCCAAACATTGTGATCAAAGGCTCTGAGTTGCAGCTGCCTTTCCAGGCCTGTCTGAAGGTGGAAAAGTTTGGTGATCTGATTCTTAAAGCTACAGAGCCCCAGATGGTTCTTTTCAACCTCTATGATGACTGGCTGAAGACCATTTCTTCATACACAGTACGTGGTTACAGAATTGCTAAGGGGGTGTAAATCTAGAATGTCTCTATTTTTAGAAGGTATTGTCTTTATGTATGACAGTGGAGTAAATTCAGAAGCATTCTGTTGCTGTTCAAGACCATTACTATATCTCCTGTTAGTAGTTTGGTCGGTTTAAAGTTAAAATTTGACTAATATTTTGCAGGCATTCTCTCGACTGATCTTGATTTTAAGAGCCTTGCATGTCAACAATGACCGTGCAAAGGTCATCCTGAAACCAGACAAGACAACAATCACTGAGCCTCATCATATCTGGCCCACACTGACTGATGAGGAATGGATCAAGGTTGAAGTTCAGCTGAAGGATTTGATCTTGGCTGACTATGGAAAGAAGAACAAGTAAGGACATAACTTTTAAAATACTGTGAGCCTGTTCTCCACCATATGTTTCCATGAAGGAGATGCAGAGTAATGGCGCAGATGATTGTAGGTTCTACCTCAATGAAGCTTGGCACTAAGAGAATAAAGAATAGAGCCACCCCTATCTCCATTCCTTCCTCCATGCTCCCACTATATTTCCATTCTTGCTGTTGACCATGTTGTTTATACATATCTCTCTAGTATCTACATGTCCAGGATACGTTCTTTTATCAAAACTGTATGTATCTTGCAACCTAAACATGCGACTTCTCTTTTCAGTGTCAATGTGGCATCCCTAACTCAGTCTGAAATCAGAGATATCATTTTGGGTATGGAAATCTCTGCACCATCCCAGCAGAGGCAACAGATTGCTGAGATTGAGAAGCAAACAAAGGAGCAGTCTCAGCTCACGGCTACCCAGACACGCACTGTTAACAAACACGGAGATGAGATCATTACTTCAACCACTAGTAACTATGAGACCCAGACCTTCTCTTCAAAGACAGAATGGCGTGTCAGGTACAGCTTCCTAGCAGTTCAGATTTGTCTTCCGTCATAGTTCTATAAATCTTGTTCTTTGGTTGCATGAGATTCTCTATATTTAGTCTCTAAGAAGAACTCGGGGGATTTTTTTTTAACCCTTGCGGTGCAAGCGTTGAGTGCTAGTTTTTGTCTAGGGTGTAAGATGACTAAGTTATACTCGCCTTAACCTGGCAGCTGGCTGTTAGATCTGTCCCTGGAGTCCATCTCCCCCTCTGCTATAGTGGTCTGAGATCCCTGAGTCATCACTTCCTTTACACTGTGTATAGGATGTGAGGATGCCAAGGGACCTACCATCGCTGCAGCGGAGGAGTAGACATGCTAGAGGGAGCGCTGTAACAGTCAACCAGCTGGGAGCTTCAGGTGTATATACCTTTTTTTTATTTTAGGCCCTAGATGAAAATGCGCACCTAACCCTTGCAGTTCAAGGGGTGGTTTTTAATGTTACCACCATGCGTGGAGTACATGGGGCTACCCATGCATTGTGGATCCTAGGAAGTTGTTTGTGTGGCTAAATAGCAGCAGAATTGTGTGTTTTGCACGTGTGCACATATACAACATTTCCTTTCATTTTGCAGAGCTATATCTGCAGCTAATCTTCACCTGCGAACCAATCACATCTATGTGTCATCTGATGATATCAAGGAGACTGGTTACACATACATCCTGCCTAAGAATGTGCTGAAGAAGTTTATTTGCATTTCTGACCTGCGAGCTCAGGTATGTGGAAATAGGAATGTCAAGCTAGTTCTGTGTCTACCCTACCCCTAGGCACCCACATGTATGTTTGTAGCATTGCAATATACTAATACTTTATTGTCAGACGTATACAAATCGCCTGACACTACTATGGCTACTACATTACTAGATGGCTACTTTATTCCTAACAGGACTATCCTATATCTATAGGTCATAATGCTACTTGCTGTCAGTAAGAAGCAAGTGATTAGACAGGTTGGGAAGCTTGTCCCAATTTCTCCTACTCTGAAATGAATAGTGCCAGCAAGCGGCTGCCTCAGCTTTGACTACTTCTAGCCACCGTTTCCATATAATCGTGCAAGTTCGACTTGCAGATCTACTAAGTTCATAGAATGCTCTGCAGCACTCATGAATTTCCTTCCCTTTCAGATTATGCCAGCTCATCTGATTACCCTTTCATGTCTATGGGCATCTTTAAACCGATATCACACCTACCTGTATAGCTTAGGTAGGCTCTAGAACTACATTGCTATTAGCATATTGATGATCTGAAAGCGTAAATCTAAACTTGCCCAAACACTGTACAATTTCCATTCCAAAGTTAGCTATGTAGAGCTAAGGCCTACTTGATTGAATATTCGGTAAATGTACTGTTTAGGTAGACTCTTATTGGTTAGTAAATCTAAAAGTAAGTGTACAGAATACTGTTCAGTCAGACTGTAATGTGGGTGGCCAGCCTTCGGTTTGGGTAGCCCATCTATTGACAGATTAAGCAGACTACATGGGAAAGTAGAAGCATATATTGACTGCATACAGACAGATGTGGTACTCGCACAAATGTCTACTGCTATATATTCAGCTCCAAAATTAGCTAGTTTGCCCTGTAATCATAATGTGAGCACCAGCTTTAGGCCTTCAATTTCTAGAGGACCCCTTTCTTGTGTGTGGGATGCAAATTACATAACAGCGCATTACATAATGTCACTGTTACTAATCAAACAGGAGTGCATAATTGCAGTCTTAATATAGTTTTGTATAATACTTCAAAAACTTTGAGGTTTTCATAAGTTATGTTACTTACTGCTTGGAACAATGTTCACTTTCATAAAATCACCACAGCTGCAGATCTGCTAATGGTGATATGTTATAACCTCCTTTAAGGCTAGAGGGATGGTTTTGTAAGATTTACAGACCAGTTGAGACTTATTCATTTTGGTACTAAGTTTTTATACTTTAAATTCAATTGGGTTAGATTGTATTTGCTCTAAATTAATTAACTTTTGTTTCTCATTTTATGTTTGTGTTTAGATTTCTGGCTACTTGTATGGAGTGAGTCCACCAGATAACCCACAAGTGAAGGAGATCCGTTGTATTGTGATGGTTCCACAGTGGGGAACTCACCAAACGGTCCACTTACCTAATCAGCTGCCCCAACATGAGTATTTGAAGGCAAGTCTTGGAATCGATTTTAGTTTGTGTACTTTTTTTTTTTTTTTAAGATGCTTTTTATTGATGTTTTCAGATGTTACACACATATACACAACAAAAGAAAAAGAAGAAACAAACAACAAAATCCAGACATTGGACTAGCAGCCCAGAAATAATTTCACGCAGATGTCATGTAACATACATATTAGGTTTACTAGTTTGCGTATTTATGTGAATATCACATTACAGTATAATGAAACTGGGCTTTTTTGGGGATTTTTTTTTTTTGCCTATATCTACTGCTAGAAGCAGATATAGGCCAAAAAAATTTTTTTTAAAACGGAAAAAAGTTAATTTACCTCTGTCTTGGCCGCTCGCTCCCGTCTGAAGATTCCCAAGAGGCAGTGCAGGATGAAAGGGAGGGCGCATGCCCAGGAGAGATCTTGGGTGGGGAGGAGAGAGACAGTGCAGGTGAAGTGCACGCTCCCGGATGCGTACAGTCGGACAGACACCGTGGGACACAGACAGCAGTCAGCCCTGGATCAGAGACCGGCTGGAAGGATCACTGAATACAAGTAGATGGTAGAAGATGATCGGATCAAGATGCATCATTTAAGGCAAGTCCTTTAACCCCTTCATGACAGGCCTTTTTTTCATTTTTTGCACCCATGTTATATTCCACATTTTAGGGCTGAAAATGACTTAAAACCCCCCAACATTATATATTTTCTGAATGCCAAGACCCTATAGAATAAAATGGTGGTAGTTGCAAATTTTTATTTTGCGCAATATTAGCGCAACTCCTTATTAAACCCCAACATTTAGTGAAAAATTTTATGAAATGCCCCAAAACACAACAAAATACCCATTTTTTTTATAAATTATAAAAGATGAGGTTACAACGAGAAACGATACTCAACATGCCCAGTTTACAAATTGCGTGCGTCCGTGAAACGGCAAAAAACTGCAGTACCCCAAAAAGTCCATAGAAGACGCTTTAAAAGCCCCCACAGGTCATCAATTTAGAGATACCCCCCAAAATACTGGCCCTAGAATTATTGCTCTCCGGCGTGCGCAGCGATACCCAACATGTGTAGCGCGTTCGTCGTTTTCATACGTAGGCACACCCGACGGGTGTTTACGTGGCGACGCGCGTGCTCAGGGGGGCGGGGGACTTTAAAAAAATTTTTTATTAGATTTATTTTATTTTTAAACTTTTTTTTTTTTTTTTACTTTACATTGATTGCTATCACAAGTAAAGCCGACAGTCGGCTCTACAAGTTTAAACAGTCTGTTTAAACAGCCCCGATGCTGGCGACGTACACTGTACGTCCGTCATGAAGGGGCTAAAGCAGCATGACGGGGGGGGAGGAAAAGAATTGAGACTTTAATGTCACTTTAATTGTACCTTCTTCAGTGAGTAATCAAACTCCACTGCCAGCATGTTGATTAAATGCTATTGGGCTAAAAAGCCTATGCTTCTAAATAGAGTGCCTGTAAAGCTAATGTATGCGGTTACTGTGACCAAGTATATGTCTACACCAAACTTTTCATTCACATCCTATTGATAGCTATGTGCAGTTGGAGGCTTATTCTTAAATGTCTGCAGTGGTTCTCAGAACACCGGGCAGCCTTCCTTTTTATTAGATCATCTAAAATAACAATTGGCCTTCCAAACCATATATGTATTGACCCAAGCAGTATAGAGTTCTGGTGACCCATCTCTACACTGCTGGGTATTTGCACAGCACCATCCACAGCGGTCACTTTAAGCACTAAACCCATCACCATCGGTCAGAGCTGTAAGGTGTGCAGCTAGCATCTTATCCTTTTATTGAACCAAGTTCTCATATTCAGACATCTATGTACATCTTTGCAAGGGATTCTTACTGGCTTTCATCTGGTTCTTCTTCCCTTCTACCTTTTAGGAAATGGAACCTCTGGGATGGGTTCATACACAACCCAATGAGTCTCCACAGCTGTCTCCACAAGATGTTACCAGTCATGCTAAAATCATGGCTGACAACCCAGCCTGGGATGGAGAGAAAACCATCATTATAACCTGCAGGTCAGTATACTGACCCCCAGCGGATACGAATGGGGAAGACAGAACACTGATAAAGGGAACAACCCCAAAGGCTACTTGCCATCTCATTACGAGAGAGTCCAGATGCTGTTATCTGATCGCTTCCTGGGGTTCTTCATGGTGCCAGCACAAGCATCCTGGAACTACAACTTCATGGGTATGTATAATCTGTTAATAATGGGCTTGCTTTGGTCTCTGAATAATATTTAGATGTAGAGAAATGCAATGCACAGTTGACTTAAAGCGAACAGATATTCCTTATAGTGTAGATGATTATGGCTTTGCAAAAAAGTTTATTCTTATAGGCACTTTGTTAGTGCTTTGGGTGCTGGAGAATAGTCCTGGTCAGAACACTAGGAGGGGAATTTATCAAAACAGGAGCAGACAATATCCGGAGCAACCGATCAGCTTCTCTTTTTGATTTTTAAACCTGAACTGAACAAACTGAAGGGAGAAGCTGATTGGTTGCCATGGGCAACTGCTCCATATACTGTCTGCTCCACTTTTGATAACGTCCCTTCTGATAACTTCCCTTCTATGTGCTTATGCTTAAAGGAGAACTATGAGGCAAGTGATTTACACATCTGTATAGTTACAGCCGACCTTTGACAATGAAACTGTAACACGTCGGCTCTATTGATCGGGAAGTGAGGGAACACATATCGTCGCTCGCTCACTTCCCGATCATTTCCCTGCAGACGGAGGTGACTGTCGGTCACCGCTCCCCGAAGGGATTCCCCCCCCCCCCCCC